GCAAACTCAACTTTGTGATTCTGTACGATCCTGCAGCAGAACACCTGCACGGGGAGGGGGGGATGGGTGGGTTTTAACCCTTTCATTGCCTTTTCCACCCTTTTTTTTTTTCCGTTCGAAGGTGCTATTTCTCCAAATTTTTTGGGGAGGGGGGAGGGGAAAAAAATTCCCAAAAAATTCCCAAAAAAAAAAAAAAAATTCCTGAATTTCTGACCGTTCCTTTTCCCACCCTGGGATTTTTCCTGCCCAGCCAGCAGGGAGGGGAACGTGGGAGGGAAAAGAAGCCACAGCAGCACAAGGAGAAATCCAATCAATCCCAACTCCTCCCCAGAGCGAGGTCGGGATTCGCTTTCCCAAAACCTTTCGGGAAGAGGGGGGGAGTTTTGATTTTTGAAATCAGATTTATTTCCCAAATCCTGAACTATTTAAGTGACTCCAGGGGGGTGGGATCTCGACGTGCATTGTACAAACCTTTTTTTATGAGCATGTGTTTGGGTTCCTGTGCTAAAAATCCGTGTGCAAATGTAAAAATTCGTGTTTGGATTTTAACTTCACACACCGAGCTCTGTCCGGTTTTTATTTTGGGGTTTTGATTTTTGGGGGTTTTTTCCTGGTTTTGATTTTTTTTTTTTTTTTTTTTCGGTTGGTTATTTTTTGGTCTCAATAAAATTTTAGATTTATAATCCTGATTTTTTAAAAAAAAAAAATTTTTTTTTTAATCCTTTTTTTAATCTTTCCCTTCCTCCCTTTTCCTCCAGTGCTGATTCACCAGGTAGAGCAGGACACGGAGGGAAGGTGAGCCCTGAGCTGGGCGAGAGCTTTGGAGAAAGGTCTGGAGAAGGTTCCGGAGCGGGTTCTCGAGCAAATTCCAGAGGTTCTGGAGAAGGTTCCGGAGCGGTTCTAGATCGGGTTCTGGATCGGTTCTAGAGCGGGTTCCCGAGTGGTTCTAGATCTGTTCTAGAGCAGGTTCTAGATCGGTTCTAGAGCGGGTTCCGGATCAAGTTCTCGAGCAGGTTCCGGAGCAGGGTCTGGAGAAGGTTCTGGAGCGGGTTCTCGAGAAGGTTCTTGCTTTGGAGAAGGTTCTGGAGAAGGTTCCGACTCTGGAGAGGGTTCCGACTCTGGAGAAGGTTCTGGGGAAGGTTCCAACTCTGGAGAAGGTTCTTGCTTTGGAGAGGGTTCTTGCTTTGAAGAAGCTTCTGGGGAAGGTTCTGACTCTGGAGAAGGTTCTGACTTTGGAGAAGGTTCTGGGGAAGGTTCTGACTCTGGAGAAGGTTCTGACTTTGGAGAGGGTTCTTGCTTTGAAGAAGCTTCTGGGGAAGGTTCTGACTCTGGAGAAGGTTCTGGCTTTGGAGAAGGTTCTTGCTTTAGAACAGGTTCTGGAGAAGGTTCCGGCTCTGGAGCAGGTTCTGGAGAATGTTCCAGAGCAGGGTCTGGAGATGGTTCTTGCTTTGGAGCAGGACCTGGAGAAGGTTCTGGCTCTGGAGAAGGTTCCAGAGCAGGCTCTAGGTTTCTTTTGGCCTCCAGCCGGGCCGGGAGCCTGAGGCACTGCAGCTCCGTCAGTGAGCGGGGCCACCTCGGCCTGGAGGAGCAGCAGGAGGAGGAGGAGGAAGGCTCCT